GATAAACTTATTTAATCATTGGATTGTTCTTGATAAAATTCTTGTCCTTAAGTTCAATTCCATAACCCCATATTGCTATGAAATTAATGGACATTTAATTTTGAGTTAACGTGTAAAGAAAATGCTAACCATTAATGCTTTTTTTTTTTAAAGCATTTTTTCCTTAAAATTTTTATAAGTTGTATTGCTGTATGCAGTTGATTTGTCAAGTTAATTCACATGATGTTAGTGTACTCATACATTATTTTCAACGACTAATTAAGCATGTTTTGTTACATAGATGAAGAATCTAAACGGAGTGATATAGTAGCAATTAAATTAAAGTTAAGTGACATAAATTGATCTAATTGCAGTTTGAATAAAAGTTGGGTGACCACCAATACAATTAACCTATAAAACTTCCTCTGCAGTTGAAACGACCGTCGAATGCGAGACAAACGACAATACAGCAGCTACTCTAGAGGTGCAAGCCCTAACTTGCATCAATTAGGTATTATCCATTTCTATGACTATTATCGGTGATCTGTTGATGCAATTTCCAGTGTTTTACTAATCAGATTGGCAATTAACTTTTGGTTCCAAATGAGAAACTGAATCTGGTACTGGGATTTTGAATAATAATTTTTCAAACAGCGACCATGTCGATTATGCTACAGGTGAGTGAGGCATAACTGCACAAGTTTCATATTTTTCAAACTTAGTTACCGCTTATGTTTGTGTTTTTGCTAAATTATATTTACCGATCTGCTTTTCTATTCAAGCTAGAGAATTTTCCATATCATTTGATGTTTATCCGATTACTAATACGATTTGGCCTGGCTTGAACACAAAAGATTTATACTTCGGATTTTTGAAGAGTTCAGCAATGCTAAAACTAGTTTAAACATACATATGTTAACAGTTCAAATACATAGTTTCCCTCGTTGATTTTGATTGTACTGCGGCCTTTATGAAGTCCCGAAGTCTACATGAGACCTTTGCTTGTTTCTATCTGGACCAATGTAAACAGACACTTCTCGATTTGTGTCTTCTCAAGAAATTACTATCGTTTGGAGACTGTTAGCTTCATTCCATTTTCCATAGACAGAACTGTCATCATCCTGTACTTCACTGGATGTCCTGGAACCAATTTGAATTCATAGAATCTACATAAAATGGCCAGTGCCATCTTCATCTGGAGATATGCTGAATCCTTCCCAAGGCATATCCTTGGTCCTGCCTGCATGCATACAATTTACTTTCAACAAGTGATGGTTTTAACAATAGGCAAGTAATGATTGTACCTTTTTTTACCATTTCAGGATTTGTTAGTCGCAATTGTAGCGAAATGTACCTGAAATGCAGTGAATTTAAATGGAGATGCATTTTGGAAGATCCCATCTTTGAGCCACCTCTCAGGCTTGAATGAAGCTGCATCTGGACCCCAATTGTACTCCATTCTTCCCATAGAGTATGGTACATATGTCACCATGCCTCCAGCCTTTACTTTGGTTCCATCTGGTAAAACATCATTTTCTAATATGCCTTTGGGATCCTGTAAATCATTTTCTCCTCAATCACTTTCTGCCCTTGAAATGCGTTAAATTAAAGAAATCTCTAACCTGGGGAACTGCTGGGTATAATCGAAGTGTTTCTGTAATCACAGCATGCAAATAATACAGTTTCCCTAAGGAATCATAGTTCAAAAGTCCTGCAAATTTCTCTACTCTCTGATTGAATGATTCTGGACCCTCTGTATGATACGTATCTAATGAGATGTCCTCTTTTGCACTATGTTCTTCAAAAAATTTTAGTTCTGAGTAAAGCTTGTTTGCAACACCTTCATGGGACATTATCATGTAGATAGCCCACGCAAGTGTTGTAGCAGTGGTATCACGCCCCGCAATTACAAAGTTTAGGACAACATCTCTCAGGCTTTTATCATTCATATTGTTTTCGGGATCTTTGCTCAGTTCAATGAATCTTGACAATATGTCATGCTTGATCTGATCATATTTATGAAATAAATAGTCAACATTGAAACTAACAAGTGTATAATTAGACCATTTTATCTGGTAATAAAAAGTTGAAATCAGGTTACCTTTTCATCTTTATTATACTCTCTGGCTTTGTCTATTTCTGCTTTTCTCCTCTGGATGACAGAGTATGTAAAATCATCAACAGTTTTAATACTCTGATCAAGGATAACTTCTGATCCCACATTAAAGAATTTCTTGACTCTCCACAAAGGGTCAATGAATCTAAGAGTTACTATAATGTTTGCAGTATCAAAGGCCTTGGCAAAAAGATTGTCTGGTAAATTGGGAGCCAATGTTCCTATTTCCACACCAAATCCCACCTTACATATTGAGTCTAGAGTCATTCTCATTAGAAGTTCCTGGAAGGAAAAAGACAACTTAATTTCCTTTTAGCCAGAAAGATTGCATTTAACTGTGAATTCTTCTCGAGATCTTTGAAACATGTTGTCCAGGGCAAATTAAGTGAAGAAAAATTCGACTAGATCATATATCGTCAACCATATCAATCATTTGATTAGTTTATTGTGATTTCTTGTTCTAAAAGACTTAAATCCTTCGATGTTACCATAAGGGGTCGTAGTTTAACCCTAATAAAAATGCTTTATTCTTTTCATTCTTCTTTCAATCCTACAGGGCTTCCACATCTAAACATGTAGAAATTACCTGCATATCTACTTGCTGATTGCTGTAAGATGCTTGGCTCAGAATGGCAGAGAGTTTGAGGCTATACTCTCTGAAAACCACGGTGCTGAAATCCCTCAAGTTCTTGGAAGCAAACTCAAAACTAGCAGTCTTCCTCTGTTTCCTCCAGAGCTCACCATCTGCATTGAAAATACCGTCTCCAAGCAGAACTTCCATGTATGAATGGTATACTTCACCCTTCAATAGAGAAACGAAAAATTGGGATTA